GTGTTAAATTGCCCATAATGTTCAGGGGTGTGTAGATTAGGTGGGATGCTCTGAGAGTCGGTGTGGACTTGTTGGGCTGAAGGGCCTGTTTCTATACTGTAGGAATTCTATGATCAATGATCTTAATCAAAAATTATGGCTGGGGTGGGAGGGGTCTTTGAATATATTGGCTGCCTTTCTAAGGTAGCATGATGTAAAAATGGAGTCATGGATGGAAGGTTGGCTTCTGTGATGGACTGGGCTGTGTTCGCAACTCCAAGTATTTTCTTATGGTCCTGCGCAGAGCAGTTGCCATACTAAGCTGTGATGCATCTGGATAGAATGCCTTCTATGGTGCATCTGTAACAACCGGTAAGAGATTTTATAGATATGCCAAATTTCCTTAGCCTCCAAGGAAGTAGAGTTGTTGTTGTGCTTTCTTGACTGTCGCTTCAATGGGATGGACCAGGACAGATTGTTGAACGTGACGCTCTCGGCCATCTACACCTCAGCATCACTGATGGACTTTAGTCAATGTGGAAGAACAGCAGATTACAAGTTCAGAGGCATAAAAACAAGTTGTTCTTTAAAAAATAATTCCAACTGGGAAAGAAACCTATGCTGAATATGAATTGTAGGAGTAGTACAAAAAAATACTAATACATTTTTAGAAGCTGACGAGAGGGGCGTAGACAGGGGCGTGCCCTCCACTCCACTTTCTGAGGTCAAAGGTCAGTTCCTTCAATTTGCTGATGTTGAGGGAAAGATTGTCTTTACACCATACCACCAAGTGCTCTCTTTCTTTTATTCACTCGTTATTGTTCAAGATCTGGCCTACAATCTTGGTGCTATCAGTGAACTTGTGCATGGAAGTAGAATGAACAAAAACAAAATTGCTGGAAAAGCTCAGCAGGTCTGGCAGCATCTGCGAAAGAAAAAACAGAGTTAACATTTCGGGTCCGATGACTCTTCCTCAGAACTGATGGTGGTTGAGAAAACGTCAGTTTATATGCAGAAAAAGGGGAGGGGAGGGGAGGGGGTAGGGAGTAAACGATAGGCTAGAGCCTAAAGAGAGAGAAGAGCAGTTGGACAGACAAAGAGTTGGTAACGGTCTGGCTGAGAGGGTGAATAGTTGTTAATGGGGTCTGTTAGTGACTACTAACAGACAGTGTGTAATGGCAGGCTATGTGGTAACAAGGCCTGGTGTGTGGGGTACGGGGCTGGGACATGGGAGAGTTTAGGCCCTAAAATTATTGAACTCGATATGGAGTCCGGAGGGATGCAGGATCCCCAAGCGGAAAATGAGGTGTTGTTCTTCCACCTTGCGTTGAGCTTCGCTAGAACACTGCAGCAAGCCAGAGACAGACATGCTGGCCAGAGAACAGGGTGGTGCGTTAAAATGGCAGGCAAAGGGTAGTTCAGGGTCTTTTGTGCGAGCAGAACGTAGATGCTCTGTGAAGCAGTCACCCAGTCTATGCTTCGTTTCCCCAATGTAGAGAAAACCACATTGTGAGCAGTGAATGCAGTAGACTAGATTCTGGGAAGTGCAGGTGAAGTGTTGCTTCACCTGGAAGGTATGTTTGGGCCCTTGGATACTGGGAGGGGAGGGGTGTATGTGTCTGGTGGTGGCATCTTGCTAGAGGTGGCGGAAATGGCGCCTGATGATCTTCTGGATGTGGATGCTGGTAGGATGGTAGGTAAGGACAAGGGGAACCCTATCTCTGTTGTGGGAGGGAAGAGAAGGGGTGAGGGGCAGAAGTACAGGGGATGGGTTGGACCTGATTGAGGGCCCTGTCGACAACGGAGCTGGGGAGTCCTCGGCTGAGGAAGAAGGTGGACATTTCGGTGGCTCCCTAGTCGAAGTTGACCTCATCTGAACATATACGATGGAGACGGAGGAACTGAGAGAATGGGATAGAGTCTTTACAGGAAGTGGGGTGTGAGGATGTATAGTCCAGGTAGATTTGGGAGTCAGTGGGTTTGTAGTGGATATTAGTGGCCAGTCTATCCTCAGAAATGGAAACAGAAATGTCGAGTAAGGGAAGGGAGGAGTCAGAGATAGACCAGGTGAAAGTGAAGGCAGGGTGGAAATTGGAGGCAAAAATGATGAAGCTTTCCAATTCCAGACGAGTGCGGAAAGCAGCACCGATGATATCATCGATGTATCAGAGAAAGAGTTGTGGGTGGGGGCCAGAGTAGGACTGGAGCAAGGAATGTTCCACATACCCCATGAAGAGACAGGCATAACTAGGGCCCATGTGGGTACCTATGGCCACCCCTCTAACCTGAAGAAAATGAGAGGAGTTGTTAGGGTGAGGACAAGCTCGGCCAAGCGGAGTTGGGTGGTGGTGGGTGGAGATGGTTCAGGTCTTTGCTCCAGGAAGAAGCGGAGAGCCCTAAGACCCTCCTGGTGGGAAATGGATGTGTAAAGGGATTGCACGTCTATGGTAATAAGGAAGCGGCTGGAACCTGTAAACTGGAAATTTTGAAACCGGTGTAAGGCGTCAGAGGAATCATGGATGTTCGTGGGCAGAGATTGGACCAGGGGAGAGAAGATTGAGTCAAGGTAGGAAGAAATGAGTTCTGTGGGGCAGGAGCAGGCTGAAACAATGGGTCTGCCCAGACAGTCCTGCTTGTGGATTTTTGGGAGGAGGTAGAAGCAAGCTGTGCAGGGCTGGGGGACTATCAGCTTGGAAGCAGGGGAGGGGACGGAGATCACTGGATGAAATGAGGTCAGTTACAGTAGTAGATACAATGGCCTGATGTGTCATGGTGGGATCATGGGACAGGGGAAGATAGGAGGAAATCTGAGAGTTGGCGTTCGGCCTCTGCAAGGTAGAGGTCAGTACGCCAGACTACAACAGCACCACCCTCAGGGTCAATAACAAAGTCAGGGTTAGATCTGAGTGCACAGAGTGCAGTCAGTTCAAAGGGAGATAGGTTGGATTTGGTGAGGGGGCAGAGAAATTGAGGTGACTAATATCACGTTGACAGCTCTCAATGAACAGATCGAGTGCAGGTAAAAGGCCGTTAACGCTGTTTTTCCTTCACAGGTGCTGCCAGACCTGCTGAGCTTTTCCAGCAACTTTGTTTTTGTTCCTGATTTACAGCATCCGCAGTTCTTTAGGTTTTTATTTGAGTTAGAATGAAATTTGGCCACAGAGTCATGAGTGTACAGGGAGTATAGTAGGTGGCTGAGGATGCAGCTTTGTGGGGCACCGATGTTGAGGATTGTTGTGGAGGAAGTACAGATGCCTATCCACCATGATTGCGATCTGTGGATCAGGAAGTCGAGGATCCAGCTGCAGAGGGCGGTGCAGAGATGTAGGTCTCAGAGTCTGCAGATTAGTTTGGTTGGAATTATACTGTTGAAGGCAGAGCTAGAGTCAATGAGTAGGAACCAAAAGAACTGCAGATGCTGTAAATCAGAAACAAAAACAAAGTTGCTGGGAAAGCTCAGCAAGTCTGGCAGCATCTGTGGAGGAGAAAACAGAGTTAACGTTTTGGGTCAGTTCTGAAGAAGCGTCACCGGACCTGAAACGTTAACTCTGTTTTCTCCTCCACAGATGCTGCCAGACTTGCCGAGCTTTCCCAGCAACTTTGTTTTTGTTGTCAATGAGTAGGAGCCTGACATGGGTATCCTTGTTATCCAGATGATCCAGGGATGAGTGTAGGGCCAGGGAGATGGCATCTGCTGTGGATCTTTTGCGACGGTAGGCAGATTGCAAGGAATCAAGACAGGCTGGAAGGCTAGAGTTGATATTAGCCATGAATAACCTCTCAAAGCACTACATAATTACGGAGCTCAGAGTCACCAGGTGGTAGTCATTGAGGCACGTGGAATGTCTGCATCTTGCTGTCATAATTCTCATTTACATTATATGCGTTGCAGAAAATGCCAGTCTCTGGGTGAGAGAGAGTCTTTGCTGGATACAAGTTCAAAATAACTGACCGAAAAATGAGGGTGAGGAAGCAAAATGAGGCACTGAAAATAGGAATAGCCATTTGGAACAGCTTTCTTGACTCAAACAGCTCTGATTTATTATCTTTTAGTAGAAACCAGCACTCAAGCCAGATTACGTCTGAATTTCACTTAAAAGCTGTCAAGACAATTGTTGAAATGTCTAAGCTGACAATATAGCAGCTAAGAGACTGACCTCTTTTACTGACACCTGTCTGTAGGTAATAGAGAAAGTCAAAGGGAAGATATAGCTTTTGGGAACAAAAAAATCGCATTAGTGAAATAGATAATAACCAAACTAAATTTCAAGGTTACAAACTAAAAAACAAAACAAAGTTCAATGCATGGGCAACTATTTCCATAATTCAGATCTTTGTCTATTATATATCTACCAAATAGAAGAATGCCTGTTTAGATCTACCAATTATGAGGATTGCTTCTACCTAGTTATCTAGCTACCTGATTTCCTCACAGCTTCCAGCATATACTTGTGGTAGATCATTAAGTTTTGAGCACTCGTCATGGTAGATTTAGGATCTGAGTAGCACTCAGTCATCGCTGCTTTTCTCACTAATAAATGTTTCCATGACACATACTACCTGTGCTCTTTGAATTTTTGATTTATAATACACAGCTGACATATCATGTTTGATTTGAGGGCCTAACTAACTGTGATCATATTACATGCAAACAATTCAGCACCAGCAGAGCAATTCTGCAACCATTAATTGGATACTTTAGCATTCAGCCTTCCAGCTATGTAATGCAAAGTTATGTTTCAAATTGGTTTATCTTAGTTATGGTCAGGTATACTGCACCTAGAAGAAACAACACAGTTAAAAACTTCATTGAAATGTGTTATGGTTCAAAGGTTGGTTTAAATTTTGGCTTAAACTTTCTTTGCTTCTATTTATAGCTGAAGCAGTCCATCATCTACATAAAGCATTTCATAGTTATGAGGATTTTAGCATTTGAAATAATTTTGAACATGTACAAGAAAACTGGTAATAGAAAAACAAATCCATTGTAATAAATAGAATACAGCTATTATTGTACTTACGGCTGCAAACTGGGAAAGAACTATTGATTTGCTCCATAACATCCGTGAGATCTGTACTTGTGTTCTCAGGTGGAATTAGTAAGTCATCTAAAAGCAGGACAACGACAAAGCAAGAAAAATCAGCACAAAATCACACAAAAACGAATCCAACTGTCCTTAATTTCATGGAGAAAAGCACTTTTATCCAACAATGCAGTCACTAATATCATTGCAATCTTCAGTAACATTACATAATGTCTGTAACATTTTGTTAAAGAAAAATGTATAGTATCTTGCACATCCTCAGGATGTTGCAAAGTGCTATAAAATGAATGAATTATTAATATCATAACACAGGAGGCCCATTTAGGTCTTGGAGCTTATGTCAGCTCTTTTGAAGACCAAATCAGTGTCCCCCAACTCTATTGGCACATCCTGCATTTTCCCACGTGCAAAAAAACAGTAAATTTATCCAAAGCAAGTCGTCACAAAAAAAATGCCAAATCACCATATAATTCGCTTTGGTGGAATTGGTTCAGGGATAAATATTGGTCGGGATTACGAGGAAATTCCAATGTCGGTGAAGGTGTGGTAGTCCAGTTTCAAGACAGATGGTGTGTGGTTTGGAGAGGAATCTTGCAATGGAGATTTTCCATGCATCATGCATCCTTTGACGTGGTACAGGTCATGGGTTCGGAAGGAGCAGTTATGTTAAGTTAATGCAGTGTATTTTGTAGATGGTACGCACTGACGTCTCTGTGCGCCCGAGAGTGTTAACGCTGAAGGTTTCGGCTGTCATGTCAATAAAGCGGGTGGATTTGTGCTGGGTGGTGTCAAGTTTCTTTAGTGTTGGTGGAGCTGCCCTCATCCAGGCAAGCAGAGAGCATTCTATCACACCCCGACAAACAGGCTGTGGGAAGTTCAGAAGTGACTTACCATAGAATTCCTAGCCTTTGCTCTGCTCTTGAAACCACAGTATTTATTTGGCTGATCCACTTATTTTTCTGGTCAAGTCAGCACTAGGATACTGATGGAATTGAATTTGGTAATGCTGGGTCTATTGAATGTCAAGAGGAGGTGACTGGATTCTTTTATTGGACATGGGCATTCCCTGACACTTGTGTAGCATGAATGCTACTTGCTATTTACCAGCCCAAGCTGAATGATGTCCAGGTCTTGCTGCACGTGGATACGGACTGCTTCAGTATCTGATACATGATATGGAACACTGTGTGATCATTAGTGAACATCCCCACTTTTCATAGAATCATAGAATCCCTACAGTGTGGAAACAGGCGCTTCGGCCCAACAAGTCCACACCGACCCTCGGAGCAATTCACCCCGATCCATCCCCCTATAACCCACCTAATCTACACATCCCTGAACACTACGGGCAATTTAGCATGGCCAATCCACCTAGCCTGCACATCTTTGGACTGTGGGAGGAAACCGGAGCACCCGGAGGAAACCCACACAGACACGGGGAGTGTGTGCAAACTCCACACAGACAGTCGCCCGAGGGTGGGATCAACCCAGGTCCCTGGTGCTGTGAGGCAGTAGTGCTAACCACTGAGCCACCGTGCCGCAGAAGATCACTGAGGATCGCTGAGCCTTGAACATTACCCTGAGGAATTTATGCAGTGATGTCTTTGTGGGCTACAATGGTTGAATCCCCAACAATCATAATCATCTTCCTTTGGGCTAGGCATGAAACTAACCAGTGGCAAAGATTCCTCCTGATTGCCACTGCCTTCGATTTTGCTTGGGCTCTTTGATGACATGCTTTACAAATGTTGCTTTAATGTCAAAAGTCACTTTCATTCATGTCACCTCTGGAGTTCATCTCGTTTGCTCATGTTTAGGCTGAGGCTAGAAGATCTGAGCCAACTGGCCCTGGCAGAAATGAAAGTGCATTGGTGAACAAGGTATTATCAAGTAAGCACTGCTTAATAGCATTATCAATCATACCTTTCATCACTTTGCTGATGATCAAGAGTAGACTGATGTGACTGTACTTGGCAAGATTAAATTTGTCCTGCATTTTTGTGGACAAGAGACACCCAGGCAACTTATGACATTGATGACAGTGTTATATCTGTACTGGAACAGCTAAGTGTTGGGGTACAGCTAGCTCTTGTGCACAGGTCTTCAATACTATTGCTGGAATGTTGTCAGGGCCCACAGCCCTTTCAGAATTCAATGTCTGAAATTACATTGGAGTTAACCACATTGAATTGGCTAAAAACCGGCATTTGTGTTGCTGGGGCCTCAGTCTGAGGCCAAGATAGATAATCCACCTAGAACTTCTAGCTGAAGATAGCTGAGAATGTGACAGCTTTGTCTTCAATACTGATGTGCTGGGTTACATCATCATGAAGCTGGGGATATTTTTGGAGCTTCCTCCTCCCATTAATTATTTATTATCCACCACCATTCCTGACTGAATGCACGGGACTGCAGATCTTTGTTCAGAACTTTGATCCTTTGGTTGTAGGATCACTTTGCCTTGTCTACAGCATACTGCTTCTGCTGCTTAGCATACAGTTACAGAAGAAAAGCAGTGACCTTATTGAAACAAACAAGATTCTTTAATGACTTCCGCTGGCACAAAAGGTTGTTTCCCCTTGTGGCTCACACATTTAAGACCAAAATGACATGGAATTTCTTCTCTTGGATGGTGGTGACTTTTTACTGCTCTCTCACCCATCCCAACTCTTGCTACTTAAGGACCACTTCCCATCCAGCTTGCATTTGATGATGTTAAGAGGAGTTCAGGGTCTGCGGGGAGCCTGGAAGATCGCCTGGAAGATCACCTGCAAGATCTCAGCTTGGGTGGGATGCCTCCGTCAAGAGCTGCTTTTCCACATTGAACATGCTCTCCTAAAGTCTAGCCCTCCATGGTCTCTTGATCCCCTGATCTCACCATTAAGACATCGACCTTCTTTCTTGGTCCCTGCTCCCTGCTGTGAAACTCTCTGCATTGATATAGTGTGAGATTTTGAGACTCCTGTAGTCTCAGTCCTGGTTCCTGGCTGCTGTTACTGGCACTGCCAGGGTTATGGAGCAGTTTCCCAATCTGACTAACTGACAGAGGTGGGACTTCCATCTGAACAAGGAACAGAATTTTCACTTCCAGCCCAATTGATGCCTCTCAATCTTAACGGCTGTGCAGTTATTCTGGTGGAGTTGCGAGCTTCGCCAACTCTTTGGGCAATGGGGTGGGCATATTCTCGCATGCTATACAAAATGTTCTGCCCCTGGTTTCAGGGACTATGTTCACAGACTGGAAAGGGTGGGCTGGAGATGCTGGGAGCAGAAAAGATTTGTTAAATTAAATTTTGTTTAATCAGAGATTTGTTAAATGTCTTTAAAAAGTAAGAAAGATGCACGAGAGTTTAATAAACAGAAACTGTTTCCAATTGCTGAATGGCTGATAAAAGAACAACATATGAAGTAAAACTTTTGTCTGCCAAAAGTGGTGATAATTTGGAATGCCTGACAGGTAGGACACACAAGTTCAATATTAGTCTTCAAATGTCAAATGGATAAATATTTTGAGGAGAAAAAGTGCTGGAATATGAAGGAAAGTTTGTGGACTGCAGCTGCTTAGATTGTTCTTTGAAAGAGCCAGTACAGACTGGATGGGCAAATAAGTCTCCTGTGCTGTATTGTATTTCATATGCATATTGTCAATAGTTTACATATATATTAGATTGCAGCTGATTAGAAATAGGCAGCAAGTTAAAAAGTCCAACTCATTATCTTGTGATTTAAATGTGAATGCAGTGTTCCGTGTCAGCCTTCAGGCTGGAAACTCAGTCTTAGATTTCTGTTGGGTCCAAATGCATTTTTTTTCAGACAGCCTATACTCAGAACTCTGACCAACACAGAAGTAAAGCACCTACATGGCACACATTTGGAAAACTTGAAGTTAAAATATTGAAAACATACAAACAATGTACTTTTAAGGATACTTAAAGTTAAAATAAATAAAGCAAAAATTGAAAGTCCTGGAGATCAGTGGTCAGATATCAGCCAGTCATTAACTTAATGCTGGAAATATTCCAAGAGCAGCATTAATTATTTGCCTTCCATTTCTTTTACCTGTACTCAACCCTTCTCCATGATGGTGCAGTTGAGATCATTAAGTCCCACCATAAAGAACACTACATGTGAGCCATGTCCAGCAGTGCCAATGAAAAGTGGATGGTATAATTCAAAATCAGAGAAATTTTGTTCAATGGATAACAATGAAATGTGCTTCATGTTGTGGCATCTATTTAATTTATGGTACTTTGCTTTCCAATTAAATAGTCGTAAAACACAGTAAAGGTGGCACAAGTTCACTCACCTTCAAATTTGGTTATGAATGGGATAAGAAATGACAACAGATAATCAGTAGATTGAATACTTTGTCCCAGCATCAGTACGACATGAAATGTCATTGCTGTAGAAAGTAACTTTAAGGATGAATTTTAAAGTCACATCATTAACATTTAATGTTATACAACATACTGTTAGCAGGATTTTTAAGTTGTTTTTGGATTAAGGAGTACTTCTTAGCCATCCATTTATTTTAATGGGAATCTTTTCATTCATCACCAACCTGTCTGTGAGTTGAAGTCCTCATTAAAGGCTTGACCATTTTCAGCAAGCTGAAAGGATGCACTTGGGGAAACAGCAGTAACTCCATTCAGTTTTGATTCTGTTAATGGCTACAAAAGATTTGCAACAGTACAAGTCATAAGTAATAGTAACATAATGCTACGAATTTTAATAAAACTCAAAGGGATTCATAAATATACTTAATTAAATAGTTATTAAAGAATATAGATAGCTTATTGGTCTTGGAAGGGTTCTTGTGATACAGTGGTAATGTCCTTATTTTTGGACTAGAAGGCCCGAGTTTAAGACCCAATGTCTCAAGAGGAATATCCTAAGACGTTGACTGATTTTTTTTTCTTTTATTCTTTACTTGGATAAAGGACATCCTGTAGCATTGAAGAATCATCATACTGGACTCGAAATGTTAATTCTGTTTCTCTCTCCACAGATGCTGCCAGACTGGTTGTGCTTCTCCAGCATACTGTGAAAAGTATTCTTTAGTGGTCACTGACCACAGTGGGAATGAAGCACCAAGTGAAGTATTTCATAATGACTGGTTGCGTCAATTAATGTTAAAGAAAATTCCACTCTGTATATTGAAATGAGGTAGGTACGTTAATATCATAAGGTATTTACTCCTGTCAGTAAAGATTGCTTGATTTACTTTGTAAGTGCAATAGGGTTACAAAAATAATAATTTATCAGAAAATTTGCAATGTTCTTTCAACTGCAACTCACTGGTTGAACTAGAAAAAGGATCGGAAAGACAAACATACAAACAAGGAATCTTTACAAACTTAGCCCTTCAAACTAGCTCCACCATTCAGTAAGATTTGGCCTGACCCGATTTTAACCTTAACTCTACATTCCTGCGTACTCCCACAATCTTTCATCTCCTTGGTCATCAAGTATCTGTCCACCTCTGCTTTAAAAATATTTAAAGATTCTGTATCCATTACCTTTTGAGGAAGGTAATTCCAAAGACTCAACTCTCTGAGTAGAAGAATATTTCCTCTTCTCTGATATGTAGTTCTAGATTCTCCCACAGGAAGAAATATCCTTTCCATAACTACCAGTCAAGTCCTCTCAGGATCTTGTATGTTTCAATTATGTCACCTCTGACTCTTCTAAATATTACAGGATACTGGCCTAGCCTGTCTAGCCTGCCTGTCTAGCCTTTCCTCATAAGGCATTTCAGTTATTACTCTAGTAAACCTCCTCTGAACTTCTTCCAATGCTTTAACATCTTTCCATAAGTATGGTGACCAGTACTGTACATAGTTCTCCAGATGTGGTCTCACCAATGCCCTGTATAACTAAAGTATAAACTCCTTACTCTTGTATTCAGTTCCCTTTGTCAACAAACCATAACATTCTACTAGCATTCCTGATATGTGCTGCACCTGCATAGTAACCTTTTGTGATTCATTCACTAGGACACACAAATCTCCGTGCATTTCAGTGTGGAAGCAGGTCATTCAGCCCATTGAGACCATACTGACCCTCTGAAGACCATCCCTCCCACATCCATCACCGCCCCCACCCCCACCCTATCCCCGTAACCCTGCATTTCCTGTGGCTAATCCACCTAGCCTGATTATCTTTGGACACTATGGGCAATTTAGCATGGCTAATCCACCTAACCTGCACACCTTTGCACTGAGAAAGGAAACTGGAGCACCCAGAGGAAACCCCATATGGACACAGGGAGAATGTTCAAGCTCCACACAGACAGGCACTTGAGGGTGGAAGTGAACCTGGGTCTCTGGCACTGCGGCAGCAGTGCTAACCGCCGAGCCACCATGCTGACCTCAAGTGTTGGCACAATTCTTTAGATGGGTGATAAACAGCCATGAGATGTCTAAAGACATTAAGGATACGAGGTGCCATAGAGTGGATGGAAGGGGGTACAAAAAGCCATGGAGTTTGGGTAGAATGGGCTTTAGGTGGCACGAGTAGGACATAGGGGGCTGAGATACGAGTGCTAGAGGTTTTATATCTTTCATTTATTATAACTAGGATAAAAACCCAGAGCCCTGTGATTGGTCTTTTAAACAGCAACCTCCACACTCAGTAGACCTATAACTGTTTCTAAACTCTTTCCAGGGTCAGTTTTCTTGATTTCAACTAATATCTGCATTTCCCTTCTACCGCCAAAAAACAAAAATCCAAAGATTAGGGGTACTCTCTCCCAAGTTGCACGATCCTGCGATCTGTATTCAGGACTGGTTGTAATTTTTGGAACTCAGCTGAGCTTTCCCAATGATTAGTTGTTAAGGAAATGTCAGTAAGTAATTCAATTTAGAGTATCTGAGCAGATGCTCCATCAGTTGGCCTGTTAATCAAATAGTTCAATTTTATTAAAGAACAAAGAACAAAAAACAAAGAAAATTACAGCACAGGAACAGGCCCTTCGGCCCTCCAAGCCTGCGCCAATCCAGATCCTCTATCTAAACTTGTCACCTATTTTCCAAGGATCTGTATCCCGCTGCTCCCTGCCCATTCATGTATCTGTCCGCTTCTACCACTTCCGCTGGCAACGCGTTCCAGGCACCCACCACCCTCTGCGTAAAGAATTTTCCATGCATATCTCCCTTAAACTTTTCCCCTCTCACCTTGAAATCGTGACCTCTAGTAATGGAGTCCCCCACTCTGGGAAAAAGCTTCTTGCTATCCACCCTGTCTATACCTCTCATGATTTTGTAGACCTCAATCAGGCCCCCTCAACCTCCGTCTTTCTAATGTAAATAATCCTAATCTACTCAACTTCTCTTCATAGCTAGCGTCGTCCATACCAGGCAACATCCTGGTGAACCTCCTCCGCACCCTCTCCAAAGCATCCACATCCTTTTGGTAATGTGGTGAACAGAACTGTACGCAGTATTCCAAATGTGGTTGAACCAAAGTTCTATACAACTGTAACATGACCTGCCAACTCATGTACTCAATGCCCCGTCCAATGAATGAAAGCATGCCGTATGCCTTCTTGACCACTCTATCGACCTGCATTGCCACCTTCAGGGTACAATGGACCTGAACACCCAGATCTCTCTGTGCATCAATTTTCCCCAGGGCTTTTCCATTTACCATATAGTTCGCTCTTGAATTGGATCTTCCAAAATGCATCACCTCGCAATACTAAACATTACTGTCAGTTGCAGCCAGTTTTGTTAACAGTTTAAAAGCAGGGAACATTTTTTTGAAATCTCCATCATGACTATTAAACAGATCATGTCTGGATTTACTTTACTCATATACACTTTGTCAATTCATATATCCCAAACTGTGGGTACACATCAGCAAAGTGGGGTCTCTTTGAATACAGGATTAAACTGCAATTTAAACCAGTTATGAAGAAGGGTCACTGGATTTGAAACATTATCTCTGCTTTCTATCCACAGATGCTGTCAGACCAGCTGGGTTTCTCTAGCCATTTCTGGTTTTAAGTTCATGTTTTCCTCCTGTGTAATTCATTTATGCTCCCTTTCTCTTATTGACAAAAATAGAATCCTTCAGACCAGGTACAGCCTGCCATTTTTGAAGGTATGCACAGTCAGCAAACTCCACAAAAATTTATCCCACAGGTCTGGAATTTACCTCAAATGCTTCATCTTGTTGTTGCAGTGCAGGTAAAGTATCATCCTGTAGTTTTGCTTGTGAGTCAGCAAATTGGCTGCTACAATATAGGAGGTATTTTGTTTGGTCCATTTTCATTTAGGTGCTAATTGTTTAGATTTGTTGCAGTTTTAAGAAAGTGACTGCAATGCTTTATTGATACTTAACACTTTGGGATGTTCAAAACAACCAGGAGGGTGCTATAGCTGCTCCCTAGTGAGAGTTAGAACTGGGTATCACTGATTTACTTCTCCTCCATGCTATCTATGACTTGAGGAAATGCAATTCTGCTCAGGCTATAGATTTATTTACATTAAATCAAATATCATCTATAAGGAAAAGGAATGTGAGTCAGCTAAACCTAAACAAATGACTCTAAAAAATACTGACATCACAACATCAACTTACCGAGTCACATATGATGTAAAGAAACATTTTTATTAGTAAAATTTGAATTATATTCCATGATAGACTACTTTAATTATGTAAATTACCACCTCAAATGATACAACCTAAACTCCTGTGACTGGTGACAAATGTCAGTCAAGTCAGAATTGGATCAGATCCGCACATTTTCATGGTTAAAAAATGTCAGGTGACATTCACTGCACACATACCAAAATGGTCAGTTCAGTGGATAAAGGAAGGAAAACAACTCCTAAACAATAGTTTGTACGCATGTTCAAATTACTTTAGCAGAAGGGAGAAAATCAGAGACAATATCCTCCAGCAACAAAATCAGAAATTGCTAGAAAAACTCAGCAGGTCTGGCAACTGCTTTCACCACACACTGAGTTAAAGTTTTTTGAGTCCGGTGACTCTTCTTCAGAACTGACTGCAGCTAGAAAAATGTGGTGCATATATAGTGAAGATGTTGAAGTGGGGTGAGGGGTGGGGGGTGGGGGGCGTTGAGCAAATAGGTGGAGTTGGATCCAGAGGGGAAAATATAAAAGGGGTAGACAGGCAAAGGGAATATCAATAGTAAGTCAGGACAGAAGAGAAGCCGAATAAGTGATAACGACGATTAAGAGTAGGACAGAAGCATTAGACTGTGCTGAAAGCAACCCATGTAATGTGGTAATAGCACTAAGAGTGGGTGAGAATGGATTTTCTTTGAGAATGGGTTGGCTGTGTTGAAAGTAATCCGTGCCATGATGGGAGCTGGATGTGGGGTGGGTAAAAAAAACACAGAAGGACATGATCAAGCTCTGAAGTTATTGAGCTCCATGTTGATGCATGTAAAAATGGTATGGCAATTATCATGGGAGATTTTAATCTAAATATTGATTGGTCAAACCAAGTTGGTCAAGGCAGCCTTGAGGAGGAGTTCATAGAATGTATCCGCGATAGTTTCCTCAAACAGTACGTAATGGAATCCCCGAAGAGCAAGCTATCCTACATCTGGTCCTGTGTAATAAGGCAGGAATAATTAATGATCTCATAATCAGGAATTCTCTTGGAAGGAACAATCAAAGTATGGTTAAATTTAAAATACAGATGGAGGGTGAGAAGGTAAAATCCATTAACAGTGTCTTGTGCTTAAACAAAGGAGACTTCAATGAGATGAGGGAGGAGTTGGCTAAGGTAGACTGGAAGCAAAGACTATATAGTGGGACAACTGAGGAATAGTGGAGGTCTTTCAAAGCAATTTTTTACAGTGCTCAGTGTCAGTAAATATCAAGGAAAATGAAGGACTGTAAGAAAAGGGATAATCAACCATAGATAATTAAGGAAATAAAGGAGGATATCAAATTGAAAGTTAATCCATTCAAAGCAGCAAAGATTAGTTGGAAGCTAGGGGACTGGGAAACTTTAAAAGTCAACAGAAAGTCCAAAAGAAGCTATAAACAAAGGTAAGATCGATTATAACAGTAAACTAGCTCATAATACAAAAACCGCTTGCAAAGGTTTCTACAAATATGTAAAATGATAAAGAGTGGCTAAGGTAAACATTAGTCCCTTAGAGGATGAGAAGGGGATTTAATAATGAGAAAAGAGGAAATGGCCGAGGCATTCAACCGGTATTTTGTGTCGGTCTTCACAGTGGAAGACACAAATAATGTGCCAATAATTGATGACAAGGAAGCTATGGCAGGTGAGGACCTAGAAACAATTGTCATCACTAAAGAGGTAGTGTTTGGTAAGATAATGGGGCTAAGGGTAGACAAGTCTCCTGGCCCTGATGGAATGCATCTCAGGGTACTAAAAGAGATGGCAGGGGAAATAGCAAATGGGCTCAGTGGCAATTTACTAAAATTCGCTGGACTCTGGGGCAGTTCTAGCAGAGTGTAAAACAGCAAGTGTAATGCCACTGTTTAAAAAAAGGAGACAAACGGCGGGTAACTAAAGGCCCGTTAGTTTAACTTCTGTAGTGCAGAAAATTCTTCAATCGATAATCAAGGAAGAAACAGCAAGACATCTGGATAGAAATTGTCCCAATGGGAAGACGCAGCATGGATTCATGAAAGGCAGGACATGTTTAGCTAATTTACTGAAATTCTTAGAGGACATTACGAGCACAGTGGACAATGGGGAACTGATGGATGTGGTGTATCTGGATTTCGAGAAGACATTCAACAAGATGCCACACAAAAGGCTGCTGCATAAGATAAAGGTGCACGTTGTTACAGGTAATATATTAGCATGGATAGGAGTTTGTTAACCAACAGAAAGCAAAGAGTGGGGATAAATCAGTGTTTTTCTGGTTGGCAATCAGTGGCTAGTGGTGTGCTCAAGGATCAGTGTTTGAACCGCAATTGTTTACAATTTACACAGCTGACTTAGAGTTGGGGACAAAGCGTTGTGTGTCCAGGTTCACATATGACACAAAGATGAGTGGTACAGCAAAGTGTACAGAGGACATGTACAGAGGACAGTGAAAGCCTGCAGAGGGATACAGACAGGTTGAGTGAATGGGCAAGGGTCTTGCAGATGGAGTACAATGTTGGTAAATGTGAAGTGATCAATTTTGGTAGGAATAACAATCATATTGGGGTATTATTTAAATGGAGAAAAATTGTAACATGCTGCTATGCAGAGGGACCTGGGTGTTCTTGTGCACGAATCACAAAAAGTTGGAGTACAAGTGCGGCAGGGAATTGAGAAGGTAAATGGAATATTGTCCTTCATTGCTACAGGGATGGAGTTTAAAAATAGGAAGGTTATGCTGCAGCTGTATAGGGTGCTGGTGAAGCCACACCTGGAGTGCTATGTACAGTTTTGGTCTCCTTACTTGAGAAAGGATGTACTGGCACTGGAGGGGTTGCAGACGAGGTTAACCAGGTTGATTCCAGAGTTGACAGGGTTGGTTTATGAGGAGAGATTGAGTAGGCTGGGACTATACTCATTGAAATTTAGATGAATGAGGGGGATTTGATAGAAACATTGATAAAATTATGAAGGGGATAAGATAGAAGCAGGGAGGTTGTTTACACTGCTGAATGAAACTAGAACTGGGGGCATTGCCTCAAAATAAGGGGGAGCAGATTTAAGACCCAGTTGAGGAGGAACTTCTTCATTCAAAGGGTTGTGAAGTGGAATTCCCTGCCTGGTGAAAGAGTTGAGGCTACCTTGTTGAATTTTTTAAGGCAAAGTTAGATCGATTTATGAACAGTAATGGAATTAAGGGTTATGATGACCAGGCGGGTAAGTGGAGCTGCGTCCACGAAAACATCAGCCATGATCTTATTGAATGGCAGAGCAGGCTCGATGGGCCAGATGGCCTCCTCCTGCTCTTATCTCTTATGTTTTTATGTTCTGAAGAGTCCTGACAGCTGTAGGGTCCTCAAGTGAATGATGAGATGCTACACTTCTAGTTTGCACTAAGGCTCACTGGAGCACTGCAGCAAGCCTAAGACAGAAATGTTGGCAATGGGAGCATGATGGTGTGTTGAAGTGGAAGGCAACTAGAAGCTCAGGGTCATGTTTACAGATAAAAGGTAAGTGTTTTGCAAAGCGGTCACCCAGTCCACGTTTTATCTCTCCAATGTAGAGGCATCAATATCCTCCAGAATTTGTTAACACAACATGAGCAGATAATCAGCTTCGCAGTTTCAACAGATTTTGGGTAATGGCTTTGGAATCTCTGCAAAGAATTTTAAGTTTTAACTGTAATATCTCCAATGACCTGGGCAACAACCTTGAATTTAAATCAAGCGTTGCTACTAGGCTGCAGCTTTCTGCTGCTGATCTCATCATTCATTTCAGCTCAATTTCACACATTCAAACTCAATCCAGTTACATCTGGAGACAGTTTGCAAGGCAGAACCTCAATTAATTGAACCACACTTTAACTACGCCTTAACTAATTAGGAAATTGTTCCTGGTGCTGCACCTATTAGTTCCCATTAAACTGAATGCCTGATTAGCTTGTACCTCTTCCAGGAGTTTTCGCAGTCGACACAGCTGTGACTCCAGTTGTTTGTTATGGTCCTCCAATATCTGCATTCTGGCCTCAAGTCGCCCTTTGTGTTGTCGTAGAAGCTTAGCCTCAGCCAGGAGCTCAGCATCTTGGTAATTCTGCTGAGTTGCTGAGAAGGATGGTGATGGGAGGGGTTTGACATCTCGCGGGCTTTGCTGCTGCTTTAACCTTTCATATTCAGCCTGCAGATTTCTGTTACGGTAGAAGCAATTCGCATTTTAGTTTACACTATGGGTACCTCTTTCATTGTCCTGTATTTAGAGTTCCATATTAGGTGTCACATAAACAAGCTTTGAATACTCCATCAAATGCCTACACAGCATTTTTGCACAATTGCAGTTTCTCCAGGTATTGACACTGTGTATGAACACATTTCCCTGACTGTTGGTGGCTCTCAGTCAAGTGACTACAGTCAAGTCAAATAAGCTTTGACAGGGAGATCATCGACAGATCACTGGATTACTGGGGACTTGGGAGGCAGGGAAGAAGGAGGAGTTAAGCAGGCTAAGTCAAACTTATCCTCAATTGCTGTTCACAAGTCCACCGTGATTGCTAAATAGTGATATTGGCTTGAGATTAACAGCGGAAAAGATACAATGCAAGTTTCACCTGAGTCTTAACAGGTAACTAAAGTGAGAGCTTACTTTTCCACAGAAAGGAGCACATGGGAAAGCTGGAATTGGCCACTTCATCTGCTGCTTGCAGTAATAAGGAAGTGCTACAATAATCATGTTAATTAATTTAGGTTCACACCTGTTCCAGTATTAATAAAAGGCAAACCTATTACATTTACAAGTCTTTCTGCTGAAGTTAAATGGGGGCCCGTTCAGGTATTGGATCCTCCCAGTGCCTCAAATTTACGTAAATATAGTCTTGGACAGGTAAGAAAGACCTTTGGTTTGTTGCTGAATACAGTCAAATTCCCAACATTTGTTTTGTTTCTTCACATGCTATTGTACAGAACTGAACCGCTTTAGTGACAATGAGTGCATATAAAGTATATTTTTGAAACTAAAAAAAAACTTAAATCCAAAATTGCAGGTGACTGGTAAAAGGCTTGATGCACTGGAGTGCCGCACTGTTGCATTAGAGTATGACTGGAGTTCGGTGAAACAGGGAGTTAGATGAAAGTGGGAGGCGGTGATCGGTCTCTCCTTTTCTCTCATTGGTGAGTATCTCTGCTCTTTAATATCCAAGTAAAGTGTTAGGGAATTTGGGGCATAAGGGGAAAGAAGAGCCAGAGGGGAGGATACCGGAACAAAGTAGGCCTGAGGTTCCAAACCAACGTATTTACCTAGGTACCCAGAAAGACACCATGAGGGAAGAACCAATGGGGGAGGAGACTCTGGGATCAGAAAGTTTAAAAATGTGACATCATAGGAAAAGCCCTAAGTTCATTGGTTGGTAAATAACTTCTGATTTGAATACCTAATCTGAAAGCAATTTAGAATAAAGGTAAATTAGAGAAATTATTTTACAGATTAAAGACTAAGGACCCATAAGAAATTTTAGAATATAAACTAAAAACTAATTAAATAATTAGAGATGCAGGGCCTGGCTGTTTGTTGTACCTGTATGATGTGGGAGCTGGTGGACCCTAGTGTGGTTCATAATGACCACATCTGTATCAAATGTTGATTGTTTGAGGAACTCTGGGTCAGAAGGTTAGGGATTTTGGAATTCACTGGGTTTGAGGGCCAGCAGCAAATGGGGCTCAGTGAGAATTAGGGTACTGAAGCAAGTGAAACAGCTTACGATGGTTGGGTGAAATGAGTTTTGTACATGTTGGAGTTTGTTTTGGTGTAATTTGAGTCAGATGTTTCTTCTGTAGAAGGAATTAAATTTGGAAGCCACAAAATTGTGGATGATTCTGGAACAGAGCTAAGTGTGAAGATACATAGGATGATGAGCAAGGTTAATTTAGCTGTATTGTTGATGGGTAGGGTATGAGATTTAAATCAGAGAGATTTCAAGGTTCAAACAGAACATCAAAGATAGGTAATTGTCTAAACCACACTAAGCAACTGAGGTCCAAGTTCCTTTTACTTCCTAGTCATCACTTTTGAAAAACCCACTTGATTATTAAAGTCAGAATAGTATATGAAACTAGTTTATTTTTCTACTGACCTTACCAACTTATCGACAGAATGTCAAACCAGTTTAAGAATATACTGCTTTCACCAGAAAGTACTCCTTCCCTGTCACGTTCTCATGACAGTATCCTGTTTTGCAAAAAAGCAGCCACCAGGTTGCAATTTCAATTATTTTAGGAGTTTGATAATAAAGGCAAGAAAACGATCGGCCTCATCTCTTGCTGTTAACTCTATCTAAGTAGCAGTCAGGCAGACCCAAGCTCTTTAAAATTCTTTCTTTGATTAAATCTTTCTACTGCTTCTCAAAGTGCAGAAGCCACTAGCTTGACATGGGAACAGTTTCTAGGGGGGAGGCTGGTAACTTATAAGTGATAGTAATGCTAAGAACTTTTTTTTTTAATTATTAAGGAGAATACTGTAATAAATAAGCAATATTGCACATTCAACACAGAAAAATATCCTAAGGCACTTCATAGAGACATAAGGGAAAATGAATGCTCAACTGAAAAAAAATTCAGAGTAGTGGCCAATAGATTGGTTGAGAATTGAATTTTAAGCAGTGCCTCAAAAGAGGAAAGGGGAGATAGAGAGACAATGGGGCAGGTGTACAAACTTGGCTGAGTTTCTTCAGCTATGACAGCCAGAATGGGAATGTTTGTTCCACAGAATAAATGAGAACCTTCAAAGGAAAAAATCAACATAATCAAAAGAATACTTCAAGAGTAAACAATAAGATGTATCCACCTTTGCTCCTCTTCAAGATTGGCAATGATGCATTCTAATTCGCCCCGCTCCTCTTTCTCCACCGACTTGAGGATCTGCACAGGACTCTGGGGCTGACTTACGGGCGACTCTCTCCCCAGTGTCAGACAGTACTGTTGAATCAGTATATGCTCATCATCACTGTACGAAGAAAACAATTATGCAGTCACATTTTTCACAGCTTGTGTCATGCATAACCGATTTACCTCGTCCGCAACTGTTAATAGATGTCATCAATCCTTGTCCTGCCTGCTACAGTACACTATAAATAAATTCAGGTAATGTTTAGTTACAACACAAAAGCATAAACTGTATTCAGTAAGCTATTCTTGTACTCCTATCTATTACCTAAAATTCATTGATTTGAATACTCAGTATTTTAAATGGTAATCTATACAAATCATATTTTATGTTCCTTTCCCAGTTCCAATGACTCAAAACAAAAGGCAACACTAGGAATTAAATACTTTTAGAATCAAAGTATTCAGGAAAGAAAGAATGGAGTTAGTTTGATAACAGAGAACTTTACCTATCAGACAGAAAGACAGGGAGAGAGGAAGGACTTGGAGGGCCGAAGAATTTATTTACTTGAAGTCAAGAAACAGTGGAAGTGCAATTACATTCTGGGTACATTTAAAAGGCCATCAATTAGTGGGGAAGACGTAGCAGAGTAAAGTTGTAGAGTAATTACGGAGGGATGTATAAACAACAGAAAGTGACTTCAATTATCCTAAGATAAACTGGAATAGTAATAGGCCGGGGTTTGTGGTGATGGTGGGTATTTTTTTTAGGGTGGGGGTTGGTGGTGATGTCTATAGGGAAATGTCCTTGATTTGCATGTTTCTGGGCCAGTGAGGAATGAGGCAATGCTGTATCTGGTTCTGGGGCATGAGGTATGTCAAGTGTAATTGGGGATTCTAAGCCTAACCCTAACGCAGTGATCATTGTATCATAAAGTACAGGTTAGCTATCAAAACAAACAAGAAGGAATCCAGAGCAAAATTATTTGGGGCTGGGCCAACTTCAGTAAGGTTAGAACAGATCTGGCCCAGGAAAACTGGAATCAAGATTTACAGGCAAAACTGCAATGGAACAATAGATTGTCTTTGAAGATACATCAAAGTTTGGGTATATTTCCATGAGGGAGAAGTAAAGTCAGAGTCCTGTGCATGACAAAAAAGATGAAAGCTAAAAGGAAATATAAAAGACATGCATATAAGAGATACCAAGTTGATAATACAAATGAAACCTAGGCCGGATATAGAAATTAAATGAAAATAAGAGAGCAAAAGCAGTACGGGAAGAGACCAGCAGCTAACATGGAAGTGAATTCAAAAGTCATTGATAGGTATATAAATAGTGAAAAAAATAATAGGAAGAGAGTGAGGTTGATTAAGTACTAAAAAGGAGATTTACAAATGGAGGCGAACGGCATGGCTGAGGTACTAAATTAGTAATTTGCATTTGTCATTACCAAGGAAGAAGATATTCAAAGTTTTAGTGAAAAGGAGATGGTTGAGACTCCGGATGGATGACAATTAATAAAAAGTAGGTATTGAAAGGCCAGCTGAATTGTAAGTATATAAGTTACTAGAACATGATGGGTTGCGTAGAAACATAGAAAATAAGGGCAGGAGTCAGCCATTTGGTCCCGACACGGCTGCACCACCATTCAATACGATCATGGCTGATCTTGCAACTTCAGTATCCTGTTCCTGCTTTCTCTCCATACCTCTTGATCCCTTTATCTGCAAGGGCCACATCAAGTTCCATCTTGAATATATATAATGAACCAGCCCCAACAGCTTTCTGAATTAGAGAATTCCACAAGTTCAGAACACTGAGTGAAGAAATTCTTCCTCATCTCAGTTCTGAATGGCTTACCCCTTATTCTTAGACTGTGACCCCTAGTTCTGCACTTTCCCAACACTGGGAACATTCTTCCTGCATTTAGTCTGTCCAGTCCCATCAGGATTTTATAGGTTTCTATGAGATCTCCTCTCGTTCTTCTAAATTCCAACGAGCACAAGCCCAGTCGATCCAACTTTCTTCATATGTCAGTCCAGCCATCCTGGGAATCAGTCTGGTGAACCTTCATTGGACTCCCTCAACAGCAAGAATGTCCTTCCTCAAACAGGAGACCAAAATTGCACACAATACTGAATGTGTGACTTCATGAGGGTGAAAATTAGGCACTAGCCATGATTTTTTTTTCTATTCATTTTTGTGGGATGTGGGAGTCGCTGGCTGGCCAGCATTTCTTGCCCATCCCTAGTTGCCCCTTGAGAAGGTGGTGGTGAGCTGCCTTCTTGAACCGCTGCATTCCTCCTGCTGTGGGTTGACCCACAATGCTATTAGGGAGGGAATTCCAGGACCTTGAACCAACGATAGTGAAGGAATGGCGATATATTTCCAAGTCAGGATGGTGAGTGACTTGGAGAGGAACTTGGAGGTGGTGGTGTTCCCATATGTCTGCTGCCCTTGTCCTTCTAGATGGAAGTGGTTGTGGGTTTGGAAGGTGCTGTCTGAGGATCTTTGGTAAATTTCTGCAGTGCATCTTGTAGATAGCACACACTGCTGCTAGTGAGCATTGGTGGTGGAGGGAGTGAATGTTTGTGGATGTAGTGCCAATCAAGCAGGCTGCTTTGTCCTGGATGGTGTTAAGCCTCTTGAGTGTTGTTGGGGCTGCACTCATCCAGGCAAGTGGGGAGTATTGCATCACACTCCTGACTTGTGCCTTGTAGATGGTGGACAGGTTTTGGGGAGTCAGGAGATGAGTTACTCGCTGCAGTATTCCCAGCTTCTGGCCTGCTCTTGTAGCCACTCTGTTAATGTGGTGAGTCCAGTTGAGTTTCTGGTCAATGGTAACCCCCAGAATGTTCATAGTGGGGGATTCAGTGATGGTAACACCATTGAATGTCAAGGGACGGTGGTTAGATTGTCTCTTATCGGTGATGGTCATAGCCTGGCATTTGTGTGGCGTGGATGTCACTTGCCACTTGTCAGCCCAAGCCTGGATATTGTCCAGATCTTGTTGCATTTGAACATGGACTGCTTCAGTATCTGAGGAGTCACAAATTGTGCTGAACATTGTGCAAACTTCTGACCTTATGATGGAGGCAAGGTCATTAATGAAGCAGCTGAAGATGGTTGGGCCTAGGACACTACCCTGAGGAACTCCTGCAGAGATCTCCTGGAGCTGAGATAATTGACCTCCCACAACCACGACCATGTTCCTATGTGTCAGGTATGACTCCAACCGCTGGAGCATTTGCCTCCCATACCCATTGATTCCAGTTTTGCTAGAGGTCCTTGATGCCACATTCAGTCGAATGCAGACTTGATATTGAAGGGCTGTCACTCTCACCTCACTTCTGGAATTCAGTTCTTTTGTCCATATTTGAACCAAGGCTGTAATGAGGTCAGGAGCTGAGTGACCCTGGCGGAACCCAAACTGGGCGTCACTGAGTAGGTTATTTCTGAGCAGGTGCTGCTTGATAGCACTGTTCATGACACCTTCCATCACTTTACTGATTATCTAGAGTAGACTGATGGGGCGGTAATTGGCCGGGTTGGATTTGTCCTGCTTTGTGTGTACAGGACATACTTGGGCAATTTTCCACATTGTCAGGTGGATACCAGTGTTGTAACTGTACTGGAACAGCTTGGCTAAGGGAGTGGCAAGTTCTGGAGCACAAGTCTTCAGTGCTATTGCCGGAATGTTGTCAGGGCCCGTAGCCTTTGCAGTATCCAGTGTCTCCAACCGTTTCTTGATATCACGTGGAGTGAATTGAATTGAATTGGCTGAAGACTGGTATCTGTAATGGTGGGGACCACTGGAGGAGGCCGAGATGGATCGTCCACTCGGCACTTCTGGCTGAAGACTGCTGCAAATGCTTCAGTCTTATCTTTTGCACTGATGTGTTGGGCTCTTCCATCATTGAGGATGGGGATATTTGTGGAGCCTCCTCCTCCAGTGAGTTGTTTAATTGTCCACCACCATTCACAACTGGATGTGGCAGGGCTGCAGAGCTTAGATCTGATCTGTTGTTGTGGGATCGCTTAGCTCTGTCTATCACTTGCTGCTTTCGCTCTTTGGCGTGCAAGTAGTCCTGTTTGGTGGCTTCACCAGGTTGACACCTCATCTTCAGGTATGCCTAGTGCTGCTCCTGGAATGCCCTCCTGCACTCTTCATTGAACCAGGGTTGATCCCTTGGCTTGATGGTAATGGTTGAGTGGGGGACATACTGGGCCACAAGGTTACAGATTGTGTTGGAGTACAATTCTGCTGCTGTTGATGACCCACAGCACCTCATGGATGCAAATCTTGAGTTGCTAGATCTCTGCACTGTCCCATTTAGCACGGTGATAGTGCCATACAACGCGTTGGAGGTTGTTCTCAATGTGAAGGCGGGACTTCATTCCACAAGGACTGTGTAGTGGTCACTCTTACCGATACTGTCATGGTCAGATGCAACTGCAGCTGGCAGATTAGTAAGGATGAGGTCAAGTATGTTTTTCCCTCTTGTTGGTTCCCTCACCACCTGCTGCAGACCCAGTCTAGCAGCTGTGTCCTTTAGGCTCTGACCAGCTCGATCAGTAGTACTGGTGCTGAGCCACTCTTGGTAGTGGATATTGTAATCCCCCACCCAGAGTACATTTTGTGCCCTTGCCATCCTCAGTGCTTCCTCTAAGTGTTGCTCAACATGGAGGAGTACTGATTCATCAGCTGAGGGAGGACGGTATGTGGTAATCAGTAGGAGCTTTCCTTGCCCATGTTTAACTTGAAGCCATGAGACTTCATGGGGTCCAGAGTCAATGTTGAGGACTCCTAGAGCAACACCCACCTCACTGTATACCATTGTGCCGCCCCCTCTGCTGGGTCTGTCCTGCGGTGAGAGAGGACATATCCAGGGATGGTGATGGTGGAGTCTGGGACATTGTGTGAAAGGTATAATTCTGTGAGTATGAATGTGTCAGACTGTTGATTAACTAATCTGTGAGACAGCTCTCCCAATTTTGGCACTAACCCCCAGATGTTAGTGAGGAGGACTTTGCATGGTCGACAGGGCTGTTTCTGCCACTGTCTTTTCCGGTGCCTAGGTCAACGCTGGGTGATCCATCCAGTTTCATTTCTTTCAGCCTTTGTAGCAATTTGTACAACTGAGTGGCTTGCTCGGCCATTTTAGAGGGCAGTTGAGAGTCAACCACATTGCTGTGGTCTGGAGTCACATGTAGGCCAGACCAGGTGAGGGTGGCAGATTTCCTCCCCTGAAGGACATTAGTGAACCAGATGGGTTTTTCCAACAATCGACAATGATTTCACGGTGATCAGTAGATTCTTAATTCCAGACTTTATTTTTGAATTTGAACCCGGGTCCCCAGAACATCAGCTGGGTTTCTGGATTAATAGTCTAGCGATAATACCACTAGGCCATCGTCTACCATGATCTTGTAATCCTCATTAGATGCAGGGACAGCAGTAGAGGACTGGAGAATTGTAAAACTGCACCTACATTCAAAAGAGCACGTCAGGGTAAATTCAGCAAACAAAGGCCAGTGACTTTCATCTCGGAGTTGGAAAAGCTTTTAGAAATAATAATATTGTTAAAATTAACAAAGATGTGTAGTAGGGTGGATTAATTAAGGAAAATTAACATGATTTGTTAAAGACAAATCATCTTCAACTAATTTGATTATATTTTTTGATGAGATAGCACAGAAGGTTGAGGAAGGTAATATGACAGATGATAAAGTGTGACATAACAGCCAAGTTAAAGCCCCTGGAATAAAAAGGACATTGGCAGCATGGATGAAAACTGGATGGATATCAGGAAACAGACAATTGCAGTGTAAGGTTGTTTACCTGACTCAAGGAAGGTCTGCAGTGGTGTTTCCAGGGAAAGCACATCAGCAAGTTTGTTTAAAAGGGATGGTTTGGCTTCACTAAAGTAATATGTTCAATTCTGGGTATCACACTTTAGGAACGGCATAAAAGACATTAGACAAGATACAGAAAAGATTTACATGAATGGTTCCAGAAAAGTGAGACTTCAATAATGAGTATGAAATAAAATAATCTGGGACTGTTCTCCTTTAAGGACGGCAGGTGATGATGAGATTTGATGAAGTTGTTCAAAATCTTGATTGGTCTAGACAACGTAGATAAAGAGAAACTCTTCCATTGGCAAAAGGACCAAAACCCAAAAGGATATAAAGTGATGAGCAAAAGAACAAACAGCAACAGGTGAATACATTTTTTTGATGCCATAAATGGTTAGGATCTGCAATATAGTGCCCGAGTGTGGTGAAGGCAGATTCAACCACGAATTTCAGATAGAAATAGAATAAGGACCTGACGAGAAAAAAATCTAAGACTAAGACAAAAGGCAGTGGAATGGGACTAACTAATTATTCTAATTAATAACAGGCTGGAAGTTCTCCTCCTCTGTATTAACCACCCTACATTTCTAATTCTTCAAATTACTTACATACTTCCTGTGGTTGAGCTACTGTCTGTAAGCAGAGAGCCATTCGTTCTTTCCATCTGTGCCAACCTGAATAAAAAGGTGCCATTAAACATCCTTAAATTCAAGTAAACAATCAAATTAATTGAATTATTAAAAAAAAGCAAGAAAAAAAGTTGCTGGAAAAGCTCAACAGGTTTGGCAGCATCTGTACAGAGAAATCAGAGTTAATGTTTTGGATCCAGCAACCCTTCCTCAGAACGAATGCTGGCTAGGAAAAGATTGTTTTTTATGCAGAAGAAAGGGTGGGGGGAGGTGGTAAGGAGTAAACCATAGATGGAGATAGAACCCAAAGACAGAGAAGAACAGGTGGACAGACAAAGGAGTGGATAATGATCAGGCTGGGAGGGTGAATAGCTGTTAATAGGGACTGTTATTGGCTAACAATGCATTGTGTGTAATAGCAGACCATGTGATAACAAGGCCTGAGGTGTGGGGTTTCGGGTAAGGGCATGGGAGAAGCTCAAGCCCTAAAGTTGCTGAATCTGATATTGAGTCCAGAAGGTGTAGAGTTCCCAAGTGCTGAGCTTCACTGGAGAAGGGCAGCAAGCCTGAGACAGAGATGTTGGCCAGGGAACAAGGTGGTGTGTTGAAGTGGCAAGGAACTGGAAGCTCAGGAAGGGTCATCAGACCTGAAACGTTAAACTCTGATTTCTCTTCACAGACGCTGCCAGACCTGCTGAGCTATCTCCGCAATTCCTGTTTTTGTTTCTGATTTCCAGCATTTGCAGTTTTTTCGGTTCTTATATTTAAAAAATTGCTTTCGTTATTGCTCAATCTTTGAAGAATTTCTCCAACTAATGTCATTAAATACTTTATCAGTCTTCGCATTTGGCAATAAAAACCGAAAGAACTGCGGATGCTGTAGATCAGGAAGAAAAACAAATTTGCTGGAAAAGCTCAACAGGTCTGGCAGCATCTGTGAAGGAAAAAACAGAGTAAACGTTTAACTGAGTTCTGAGGAAGGGTCACTGGACCCAAAACATTAACTGTTTTTTCCTTCACAGATGCTGCCAGACCTGCTGAGCTTTTTCAGCAAATTTGTTTTTCTTCACATTTGGCAAACTGCTCTACCCAGAAGAGATGCAATGCATTTGGTCATCTGAAGTATAAGTAGTGTGTTTTTTGCTTCATGTCAGGTTGGTATAAGGAACATTTTCCAAACAATCATTCATTTGAAAGCCTCCCATTAATGCCAAGCTGAAATCTTTTTCTACTTGTTCATGAACTTTATGTCCATTAAGGGTAAAGTAAGTAGTGAAGGATCCAAAACTATCCATTTTAGATACTAATGCAAGCAATAGTATATCAAGGGTCAGGTACAACGCTAGTTTGATTAAAGATTCAGGCTTCCTTATTTTTGACTCTATCTGAGGAGAACAATTCCTCACTTTTCTCTCACTGTCACCACCAACCACAACACCCCCCACCCCTCCCCCAACTACAGGACTAACATCAGATTTCTCCTTGAATAAAACTGAACAGTTGGTCCAGACTGGGGGCATGGAACAGTCAGTTTGGTGCTGTACTATCTTGTTTACCATGAACTGGATCCTGACAGCCAACCTCATCTCAACCTAAACTTGTAAAATCTATAGCTATATTTTAATCTAGGGCCAAATGTCCAACAAGGGAAGGTCCTTTTGAAGTTTTCAATTGAGCCTACAGTCTTTTTCTGTTGAACTCAAAAATTTATTTTGCTATGCCTTTAGGGATTCTAGAATGAAAAGTACCCATAATATGTTACATTCTCTAAATCATTAAAATTAGTTGCCTATGAATTCTGCAGACAAGACAGAAAAAAAGTTCACATCTACTGCAAGATATAAAAATATTCAAACATTGCTTGTAGTGTGCTAGGTGTAGATGTCAACTAAGTCACAAAGAATCATTTTGCACCATCCCTATGATGGCCACCGAAAATACTGCTTCCAGCAAAAGAAAAGTCAGTTTCAGCAATTCAAGCTCTGTTGAGGAAGTGAAAATGTCAATTGCAATTATTGATAAGAGTAAGAGTGGAATGTGCACAAAATAAAAAACTTCACAGAGCTTTAATAGATACAGATATCTAATCCTTTTCCAGCACTACTGGAAGACAATATAGCAAATTGTACTAACTCAAATCACTTCATTCAACCAAGACCACTGCTTCACTCAGAAACCTGTCTGCATTAATCATTAACCCTTCTTTCCGGTAGCAACATGCGCATTGAGATCACTTAAACAGACCATTCTGCATTATCTTCATCCTGCAATCATTAGGGATGGAGCATGTGCTTATTTAATGAAGACCAGATGCCCTATGCAAGAACCAAGACTCTGCGCCAACAACAGATGCCCTGCAGATCATAATAGGTGCTTCCATCTAACAGGATGGGGGGGTGGGGGGAGTCTGAATTTGAGAGCCATTCCTAATTGTCTTTAAGGTGGCAGTGACCAGGTTATTTAACTGGTACAGTCCACAGGATGTAGGTGCACCCACTGTGCCACTATGAACAGAATTCCATTATTTTCATCCAGTGGTAATAAAGAAACAAGAAGACAGTTCCATTTGGCATTGTACTTGAAGGTGATAGTGTTCCGTTATATCTGTTGCCTTTGATTTTCAAGGTGGTGGAGTTGGATGGTGGTTTTCAGATGATATACACTGCTGCCAACTGTGTGCCAAAAATGGACGGAATGAACGTTTAAGATGGTAACGGGGTGCTGATGAAACTTTCTCGTTCATGAGCTATGCTGTTTGTATGCTGTTACACGTGCAGTCATCCAGGCTAGTGGAGAGTATTCCATCGCACTGATGACTTGTGACTTGTTGTTGCCATGCAGGATGTGGGGAGATTAGGAGATTGCTGCAGATTAAAAGCCTTGTAGTCATTGAATGATTTAGCTGGTCCAATCAAGTTTCCTGTCAACACCCAGAATATTGATGATGGTGATGGGTGGTGGGGGCAGGATGTCATCTGTGATAGTAATCCTGTTGAACATTCACACTGTGGTATGGCAATTGCTCTTCCCAAGACCCCAAGAAACTGCAGAGAGTCGTGAACACAGCCCAGTCCATCACACAAACCTGCCTTCTCTTCACTGATACCATCTATACTTCCTGCTGCGTCGGGAAAGCTACCAAAGACCTCTCCCACCCCGGTTATACTCTCTTCCGAAGGGCAGAAGATACAAAACTTTGAATACATGTACAAACAGATTCAAGAACAGCATCTTCCCCGCTGTTATCAGAATTTTGAACGCACCTCTCAAATGTTAATGTTCATCTCTCTCTGCAACTTCTCTGTAACACTACATTCTGCAGTCTGTTCTGCTACACTTTGTAATGTACTTTGTATGGTACAATCTGTCTTTATAGCATGGAAAACAATACTTTTCACTGCATCTCAGTAGATGCGACAATAAGTCAAAAGTTCAGATTCTCTCTTATTGGAGACGGTGATTGCCTGGGGGAATCTGCGTACTACTTAGCAGACTAAACCCAAGTGTTGATTGAGGAAGTAAGGAGAAACTTTTCAAGCAAGTCTTTAATTTGGTCATAATTGGAAATGTTGGTTTCAAAAGGTCTTGTGGAAATAAGGAGAAAGTTTTCAACGAAAGAGTTATGATGAATTGGAATGCACATGCCAGTGATGCCCGATGCTATGAATGAGTAAAAATAACCTGAAAGTGATGGAGTTAGATTGCACAAGATATTTCAAAAGGCATTTGGACATGTACTTGTAGAGGACTAATTTGCAAGGTTATGGAGAAAGACTGAGGGAGTAAGACTGAACTGGACAGTTCCTTAAAAGAGCCAACTGACCAAATATCCTCCTCTTCAGACCCTGAGCTTCCAGTTGCCTGCCACTTTAACACACCACCCGGTTCTCTGGCTAACATCTCCATCTCAGACTTGCTGCAGAGTTCCCATGAAGATCAGCACAAGCTGGAAGAACAACACCTCATTTTCCACTTGGGGACCCTGCAGACCTCTGGACTCAATGTCGGGTTCAATAATTTTTTTTCATAGAATCCCTACAGGAGATTTAATAATTTTAGGGCCTGAACTCTCCCATGTCCTAGCCCTCCATCCACACACCAGGACTTGTTATCACGTAGTCTGCCATTACACACTACCTATTCTTAGCCACTAAAGCTCCCATTAACAGTTACTCATCCTCCTAGCCAGATCATTACCAATTCCTTTATCCGTCCAACTGTTCTCTCTCTTTAGGGTCAATTCCCACCTATCATTTACTCCTTACCCACCCCCAGCTTTTCCAGCAACTTCTGTTTTTGTTCCTTTTATTTTCCAGTTCCTGTTTTGCTTTACAATTCCATGGAAAGATTTTCAATTCTCCTGTGTAAGGGTTTGCAGACAGATAGATCGTAAAATGGTATGAATGCCTTTCCTATTATCTACCTGCCTGCCTAACCTTGTTGCATTTCCACAAATGACAGGGGAGAGATCAGATAGTCTCCCATCTTTGAGCTAAGTAAGAGCCCTTCAGTGAGCAATTAATGGTCAGTCAAGTGACCCACTTATGCTGCTATCTTACATGCTGCAGGAGGAGGATGTGATAGATCAAAACTTGGCAGGTACTATCACTTGGGCTTTGGGATAAAGTGAAGGTTGGGGAGATGCTTTCATACAAGACCAGTTTCCCTATCCTCCCTGACCTGGTATATCAGCTGAGTCCCAGCAATAATCCTTACATTCCAGCTTCAGGAATGAGCATTACTGGGGACTGACCATAGACCCAGCAATGATCACTGTTCCCAGTGGTGCCACTGGGGCCAGAGAGCTGCTGGCCATCCAAATGAGGGTGGAAGCCTCACCTCAAGGTAGTTAATCTCCCAAAGGACATTAAATTATTGCAGGGTCACAGGAGTGGGCAGAAGTAGGGGATATGTCAACTTATTCTTTATTAGTTCATGGAATGTGCGCTTCACCGGGTAGGCCAGCATTCATTATCAATACCTAATTGCCCAGAAGGCAATTAAGTGTCAACTACATTGCTGTGGGTGTGGAGTCACAAGTAGACCAGACAAGGTAAAGATGGCAGATTTCTTTCCCTAAAAAGTCATTAGTGAAACAGATGTCTTTTTATGACAATTGACAGTGGTTACTTTGTCACTATTAGCTTTCTAATACCAGATTTTTTAAAAATTGCTATCTGCCATGGTGGGATTCAAACCCATGCCCCAGAACATTAATCTACAGTTCTGGATTACTAGTCCAATGACACCAGCCTCTCCATCCACTCATTGTATGTAAAGACCAGCACCATGACTGTGCAATGCATGTTCTGTGCATGGTGAACAATTCAGGTAAACTTTTCTGATATCAATATTCTGGTAATCTCATGTTAAAAAGGTAGAGGGAATGAAATACACAAATTAGAAATTCATTACACATAGCGCTTGATCAAAATCCCAGGTTAAATTAAAATGGAAAACAAAGGGTCATAGCGAGACAATGGTGAATTTTGTTTTTGATCACCAATGTCCAACTACTAAGTGATTTTTCATTTGCCCAAAACACAGAATCTCTGCAGTGTGGAAGCGGGCAATTTGGCCCATTCAGTCCACATGGACTCTCCAAAGAGCATCCCACCCAGAACTTTCCCTACCCTATCCCTGTAACCCTGCATTTCCCATGGCTAACCCACCTAACCTGCAAATCTTTGGACTGTGGGAGGAAACTGGAGCACCTGGAGGAAACCCATACAGACACGAGGAGAATGTGCAAACTCCACACAGACAATTGCTAAAGGGTGGAATTGAAACCAGGTCCCTGGCACTGTGAGGCAGCAGTGCTAACCACTGAGCCACCCCTACATAAACCAGTTTAATCAGTTGACATTGTATAGAAACAAATTAGAATTTCAAAGAAGCAAAGTATTTTTTAACCTGTTGGCATAATGTTCTATTCTTGAATGTGTGTCATCCTGAGTCAGTTGCGGAGACTGTGTAAGGCTGCAAATAAAATAATATTTGATTGCTCTTTGCATATCTTTAACTAAAATATTGGCAATGATACTTTATTATTTTCCTGTGTTTAACAAATATAATTAATAACTTAGCGAAGTGACATTAGTATAATCCACTACAAAAGTATAAGTTCAGTAGGAATTTTGCTGGAACTAACTCTCTATCTCATTATCATCGTAAACCACCATTAATGAAGTGTTTAGGCATTTTCTTTTTGTCTAGTGGTATATGGAAAAAATTTGCAGCATATTCAGGAGGTACGACACTGGTCACATCAGCTCTAACACTGCTCCTCAGGATGAAATACTGGCATTTTTTTTCAGAATATGATCTGCTTGGACATGTCATGATACATCTCTGTGGTCATCAGATGGGATTTGGATAAACAAAAATTTATTACACACCTCTGGATCAGATTCAATTTGAGCCTGGACATTCTGGTCCAGAGACAGCAGCATGACCAGTATGCCACAAGATCTTCAAATACTGGATGCTAATTGTATAGCAAATATTGAAGCAGTTGATTAGGATTAATTGATTAATGAAGTGACTGGGTAGGCAGGAAGGGGAGGAACAGGTGGGACTAGTATACGGAAGGGTAGATGGGCCCTCTTATGGCAGAGTGGTAGTGTCCCTGTCCCTGGACCAAAAGGCCCAGGTTCAAGTCCCATCTGCACCAGAGGTGTGTAATAACATCTCTGAACAGGTTGATTAGGAAAAATGGTTAAATTTTAAAAAAATTGAGTAGTCAATAAACACCATCCATAAAGAAATATTTCTTGATTTCAAATCCAAATGACAGGCATCGTTAGTTTAATAATTCGTAATAGTCCGATTTTCCTTACAATGTGAAGATTAGTGGGAGGATCGGGAAGCCTTTAAAAACTAGCAGAGGACAACCAGAAAAGC